TTCTGGGCCCTTTCAGGGATAGAAATAGAAAAAAAAAAAAGTGACTTCAAGAGTATTTCTACTTCTGGCCATAGAGCACTGCTCTTAGAATGACCCTGCTGCTATAAACAACTAAAAAACTATATATATACCTCAACAGGTGTCAGACATTAGAAAACATCCAGAATAGGACTGTGATTCTTCAGAGAAAGAAGACAAATAAGTCAGACTTATGCTTGATGTACGTTACTCTCTGAAGTCAGCTTTCTGGGCTACAGTACAGGCAAAGAGAAACCAAACAAAGCTGAGTAATCTGAACCAGCTAAAGAGCCAGAAGTCAGGTGGAAGGAGGTAGAGAAGGATCAATGTATTGGAAAAAATACTGGGGAGAAGATAGCACAGAGACAGAGGTTCAGAGAACTACAGTGAGGTCTTCTTGAATACTTACCTTATTAATTCTCTATACATGAATAGGGAAGCATTCCATGAAGTGCTTGGGGTAACACCAGTCTAAACAAATCCTAGAGCTCAAAAATACCAAAAGCAGAAATACAAAGTTAAATACTTTATGAGGCCTTAGGGATAGTTCACAACTTTAGAAGTTGAGTCAAATCAACTATAGACTAAAGATTTCTCTGAACTTGCCTTCACAAGGATTAATAGCCATCCCCAAAGGATCAAATCTCCTTTAAGCAGCTTACCTACATGCTAGAGAAAACTCCAAGCTCATTAAAGAAATAAAATCTATTCACCCAACATAAAAATCATAATTTCTAAGATTCAATACAAAATTACTAGGTATGCAAATAAGCAGGAAAAATATGTTGTATAACCAGCAGGAAAATGAATCAAAAGAAAGAGATGCAGAAATGGAAAAGATGACATTGTATTAAAATAGCTAATGTATATGTCCTGAATGTTCAGAATAAAAAAACTATGAACATAAGGAGGAGAGAACTAGAAGATAGCAAAAAAGAGCAAAGCTCTTAAAAAGAAGACTGTAAAACTTTTAGAGGTGCTAAACCATATTTGAAATAAACAGTACACTGGATGATATAAACAGCAGATTAGATGCCACAAAAGAAAGATCAGTGCACTTGAAGACATAGTAATAGAATGAAGCACAGAGGGAATCAGACCTGAAGGTGGAAGAAAAAATATTTGAAGAAATAATGATCAAGAAATATTCTAATTTGAATTACGTGAATTGAAAGATAAAAGGAGTTCAATAAACTCAATCAGCATAAAGGAAAAGCACATCAGAGTCATATTTTGAAAACCACTGAAAAATTGTTTTAACCTTTATAATTCAGTATTAATAAAGATTTAGTGAAAACCTTTAAATGTGAATGAACTATGTTGAATCTTTACTAGATCAGTTTGCTTGCCAGAAAATAACACGAGGGTCCAGAGTGTAGAAAGTAATTACCAGACCAAAGGATAATAAGTAAGTGCTAAAATAAAGAAATGATAATGTAGACAGTTAATAAGGAGTTATTGACCAATATTTGTCCACCCTAAGGCAATATCTGTTTTCTTCACTCTATTATTTAAATTAATGGATCTTTAATGCCTTCATATTTTCTTTGTGAGTTTAGATTTGTGAGGAGCTAGAACTGAGAAAATTCCATGTACATCTACGATTTAATGATGTACCCTTTTTAACATGTCATTTAGCAGGTCATTTAGCCTTCCATGGTGATAAATGCAAAAAAAAATAGAGGAAAACAATAGAATGGGAAAGACTACAGATCTCTTCAAGAAAATTAGAAATACCAAGGGAACATTTTATGCAAAATGGGCACTACAAAGAGCAGAAATGGTACGGACCTAACAGAAACAGAAGATATTAAGAAGAGGTGGCAACAATACACAGAAGAACTATACAAAAATGGTCTCCATGACCCAGATAATCAGGATGGTGTGATCACTCACCTAGAGTCAGACATCCTGGAATGCAATGCCAAGTGGGCCTTAAGAAGCATCACTATGAACAAAGCTAGTGGAGGTGATATAATTCCAGTTGAGCTATTTCAAATCCTAAAAGATGATGTGAAAGTGTTGCACTCAATATGCCAGCAAATTTGGAAAAATCAGCAGTGGCCACAGGATTGGAAAATGTCAGTTTTCATTCCAATCCCAAAGAAAGGCAAAGCCAAAGAATGTTCACACTACCTCACAATGCACTCATCTCACACGCTAGTAAAGAAATGCTCAAAATTCTCTAAGTGAGGCTTCAACAGCTCGTGAACCGTGAACTTGCAGACATTCAAGATGGATTTAGAAAAGGTAGAGGAGCCAGAGATCAAATTGCCAACATCCACTGGATCATTGAAAAAGCAAGAGAGTTACAGAAAAAGATCTATTTCTGTTTTATTGTCTATGCCAAATCCTTTGACTGTGTGGATCACAATAAAATGTGGAAAATTCTTAAAGAGGTGGAAATACCAGACCACCTGATCTGCCTCCTGAGAAATCTGTATGCAGGTCAAGAAACAACAGTTAGAACTGGACATGGAACAACAGACTGGTTCCAAATAGGGAAAGGAGTATGTCAAGGCTGTATATTGTCACCCAACTTATTTAACTTATATGCAGAGTACATCATGTGAAATGCCAGGCTGGATGAAGCACAAACAGTAATCAAGATTAATGGGAGAAATCAATAATCTCGGATATGCAGATGAAACCACACTTATGCAGAAAGTGAAGAAAAACTAAAGAGCCTCTTGATGAAAGTGAAAGAGGAGAGTGAAAAAGTTGGCTTAAAAATCAACATTCAGAAAACTAAAATCATGGCATCTGGTCCCATCATGTCATGGCAAATAGATGGGGAAACAATGGAAACAGTGACAGACTTTATTTCTGGGGGCTCCAAAATCACTGCAGATGATGAATGTAGCCATAAAATTAAGATGCTTGTTCCTTGGAAGAAAATTTATGACAGCATGTTAATCCTAGGCAGCATCTTAAATAGCAGAGACATTACTTTACCACCAAAGTCCATCTTGTCAAACTATGGTTTTTACGGTAGTCATGTATGGATATGAGAGTTGGACTGTAAAGAAAGCTGAGTGCCGAAGAATTGATCATTTTTAACTGTGATGTTGGAGAAGAGTTTTGAGAGTCCCTTGGACTGCAAGGAGATCCAACCAGTCCATCCTAAAGAAAATCAGTCCTGAATATTCATTGGAAGGACGGATGTTGAAGCTGAAACTCCAATACTTTGGCCACCTCATGTGAAGAACTGACTCATTTGAAAAGACCCTGATGCTGAGAATGATTGAAGGCAGGAGGAGAAGGGGATGACAGAGGATGAGATGGTTGGATGGCATCACTGACTCAATGGATATGAGTTTGAATAGGCTCCAGGAGTTGGTGATAGCACAGGGAAGCCTGGTGTGCTGCAGTCTATGGGGTCACAAAGAGTCGGACATGACCCAGTAACTGAATTGAACTGAACTATTTTTAGCATCTCCTGGAGTTGCTACAAAATTAATAATGCCACATATATGAAATAAAGAGTCTTGCTCTTTGAATTTGCTCCTTGAGCAATATTGACTTTAAAAATTATATAAATTACACAGTGGCATTTAATGAGTTGAGACTTTTCCAATGATATTAACCCTCTAAATTCACTTATACAAAAGAGGAGTTTTCTAAATTCATTTTAAGTCTTCCTTACAGCACAATAATATTTTTTAAAATCTAAATAGGTATGCCTTCCACTATCTATTCACCTACCCATCCATTGATCCATTTACATTTTTTGAGAAAACTACATTGATTATAATACCTAATTATTGTGCAATTGTGGAAACTATTCCAAATTAAGAAAACATAAACATGAATATTTCACTTAGCAGTAGTCTAATAGTAATCACAAATCTCATTTACATTATGTTTTATGAATGTATTTATTCATATCATTTCATTAGAATTTCACAACCATGTGCAGGGTGGGGGGGAGAAAACTGACACGATTCCCATTTTCAATATGGCAAATATAACTTACAAGCAAAACAGATTTCCCTAAGGCTCAAGTGGCTGGTATTGGACTTGAAATCAGCTATTTTGGTTGGTCTTCCAGAGTTTTTTCTAATATGACAGAAAATGTCTTTGGAAAGAGCTGCAAATTTGAATACTGCCCATATATTGATTATACATTCACTAAAAGTACAAATGGTATCATATTTATATCATTAAATTAGATATACAATTAAATTTAATTTCACATATTGGTTTTTCTATGTGAGTAAATCTCTTAACATTGAAGTGTTGTCACTAGAACTAAGGAACCATAGTACTAATGAACACTGTTTTAGATAGTAAATTAGATTTCTATTGTTGTATAATCAGTTGCAAATATAGCAGCTTATAATTGCATTCTTTGATCATCTTCCAGTTTTGGTAGGTCAAAAATCTGGCAAGACATAGGTGAAATCTCAATTCAGTGTATTACAAGCCAAGATCAATGTTTCAGCAGGGTTACAATTCAATCTAGGACTTGGGGTCCTTTTTCATGATTACTAACTTTGGCAGAATTTATTTCCTTCTCGTGTTTACCATGTGGTTCCTCCCATCTTCAAGCCAACAATAGTAGGTTGAACTTTTCACATTCTTCAAAACTCTCTGATTTACCCTTTATCCACACCCCTCTGACTTCCTTTTCTGCTTTTAAGAGCTCATGTGATTGCTTTCTGTCTACCTGGATAATCCCAGATAATCTTTCAATCTTAAAGTCAACTGATTATTAACCTTAATTACAGCTCCAAAGTCTTTTCTCCACCTGATGTGACGTATTCATTGACATAACACCAGGGGAAAAGGTCATAGGGACAAGATTCTGCCTAACACAGAGATACTTCCTGAGACGAAAGAGCTATCAAATAAATTTCTCTGTGAATATACAGCTTTATCTATTCAGTTTTAAGCTTTAAATATTAAAAAGCAAATTGAGATTAAAATTCATTCCAAAAGTATTTATTTGGTGCTTAATAGCACAGTCAAGAAATATACATTTAGCACTTGGTATTGAACAGTACTAGGGCTTCCCAGGTGGTGCAGTGGTAAAGAATCTTCCTGTCAATGCAGAATACATGGAGATGTGAGTTCGATCCCTGGGTTGGGAAGATCCCCTGGAGTAGGAAATGGCAACCCACTCCAGTGTTTTTGCCTGGAAAATTGCAAGGATAGAGGAGCCTTGTAGCTTTGGGGTCTACAGTCCATGGAATTGCAAAAGTGTTGGACATACCTGAGTGACTGAGCACACACAAAAAGAATAGTACTACTAGACAAAATTCTATCTTAATATCATTCTTTCCCTGGTGGGTAATGATATCTGACAAAGAAATATGCTGGATATACATCTCATAAATAAACATAAAATAAAAGCTACTATCTCTTATCCCAAAGAACTCTCCATATATAAAGAGTAATTTCCATACAAATTCCCATGAAAGAGAAAAATACAGTATTGCTGTAGCAAGAGATCATGGTATATAAAGATAAAAGGGCAAAAGACAATCCTAGAAAAGTAAGCAAGAACCAGATCTTTGAAAGAAAGCTTTGAAAAACTGATTGGAAAACAGGACCTTGATCAAACAATTTAAAGGTTTTTTATGGTCTTTTTCTCTTTGTGTAAATTGAAAACAAGCATTAACTTTTCTACATCATATTAGGGTCAGGAGATTGGAAGAATAAGGAGTGTCATTGATATGTGTACCCTGTCAAATGATGCTGTTGTTTAGTCGACTTTTTGCAACCCCATCGACTGTAGCCTACCAGGTTCCTCTGTTCATGGAATTCTACAGGCAAGAATATTGGATTATGTTGCCATTTCCTTCTCCCTGGGATTTTCCTGACCTAGAAATTAAACACATGTCCCCTACATTGGCAGGTGGATTCTTTACCTCTGAGCCACCAGGAAAGCACCACATGGCCGAATACATTATAGGTATTGTTAAATAGATAAAGTTAAGTACTTTTGGTAAGTTTCTATTTGTCTATGAAATTGTGCAGCATAGGTAATCACCCATTTTGTCAATATGAAATTTAAATCTCATGGTCCTTTATCATATTCATTATCATGAACAAGTATACATTTTTTCTGTAACCCATGATGAGACACCAAGAAGATTCTTTAAAATGCAAAATTGGTGAAAGTAGTATAATTGAAACTATGACTGCAGATGGTGACTGCAGCCACGAAATTAAAAGATGTTTACTCCTTGGGAGAAAAGTTATGACCAACCTAGACAGCATATTAAAAAGTGGAGACATTATTTTGCCAACAAATGCCCATCTAGTCGGGGCTATGGTTTTTCCAGTAGTCGTGTATGGACGTGAGTTGGACTATAAAGAAAGCTGAGTGCTGAAGAATTGATGCTTTTGAACTATGGTGTTGGAGAAGACTCTTGAGAGTCACTTGGACTGCAAGGAGATCCAACCACTCAACCCTAAAGGAAATCAGTCCTGAATATTCATTGGAAGAACTGATATTGAAGCTGAAACTCCAATACTTTGGCCACCTGATGTGAAGAACTGACTCATTTGAAAAGACCCTGATGCTGGGAAAGATTGAAGATGGGAGGAGAAGGGGATGACAGAGGATGAGATGGTTGGATGGCATCACTGAGTCAATGGACATGAGTTTGAGTAAACTCCAGGAGTTGGTGATGGACAGGGAGGCCTGGTGTGCTGCAGTCCCTGGGGTTGCAAAGAGTCAGACATGACTGAGAGACTAAACTGAACTGAACTGATTTCATAATTAGATACATCTGAGCAGTTATTTTTACTGATCGAAACACTCTCATGCCATCCTATTGTACTTAATGACAACTTTCTCAAAATCTGAGAAGATTTTGTATTTTATACTCTGTCTATTTCTCCAACCTTTTCTCATATCAGTTATTCATCCTTCCTGTCTTTGCTAACAGTAAGAATTAACACTGTCTTTTTTTTTTTAATATATAGTGATACATGCTAATTTTTACCTCAGAGGCTTTAAATATTTTATTCTTCCACACATACTTCAGCCCAATTAACTCATAATAATCATTCCATTTGCAAATCAGTGTTTCCCTTCTTTTCTTTTCTGTTTTTTTTAAAAATCATTATTAGGTATAGTGGTTATTTTTCATATAAAAAAGTGGTTAAAAATGTCTCCTTATTTTTCTGTGTTGTGGAACATTTTAATTAGCATGGTCATGTTCTTATTTTAAAAGTTTAATAAAATTCTCTTTTTTTGGTTCCAAAGATTTGGGAAGAGTAACAGCAGTGTTCTTGTATTATTTATTAAATGATGACTTTGCTTCCGCTTTTTTATGTTCCTGCTTCCTGAAAATCTTAGTAGATTGATATTGGATATCGAACATCCTGGGTCAATGCTTTAATTTTTCTTATATTCTACTTTCTGTCTCTTTTTTTGTTGCTCTTCTACTTTACAGAAACTTTGTTCAAATTATCTTCTCAGTCTACTGAATTTTATATTTGTGCCATAATATTGTAAACTCTGAAGATCTTTCTTGTTCTCTAAATGCTTTTATTTATTACCTTTTGTTTATTTACTATCATTTATTGTGATGTTATAACCCTTTTTTCATATGCATTATTTGTTCTTCTTAAGAACACAAACTATTAAAATAAAAACTTTTAATAATTGTCTGCTTTCTCAATATCTCTCTTTTTCTATTCCTCCCTTTCTCCGTTTCTCTTTCTCATTGTCTCTTTCTTTCAATTGGAGTACCTCCTTCAAGTATATTCTAAAGTTTGAAGAGTGAAAGTGAATTCAGAATTAAAATTTCCACATGTGTGTACCTATGGCTGATTCATGTTAATGCATGGCAGAAACTGACACAATATTGTAAAGCAATTATCCTTCAATTAAAAATAGAAAAAATAAACTTATGGTAAAAAAATGTTCAGGTCTAATGACCAAATCTAGTCAAACCAAAACCAAATGTAGGCTATTTTAATCCTCTAAAGTAGTTAATATCTCTTCATTTTATTGCTACATTTTGTCATTTTCCTTACTAGAGTAGTTTCTAAATATTTGAGAGAAATGCATTTACAACACAATTTTCTCAAATGTATGTCTGATCCTTAATATTCTATGTACAGAAAGTATATTCCATAGGTGATCAGTTTTATATCTTGATTAGCAAAGAAGCTAAAAAAGAGGCATATCAATGCTCATGGATCCTCATGTTAAATTTTTGGCTCTATTGAAGTGCAGTGAATAAATGCCCCAAATCTTCACCTTTGCCATGGCTACATAGTGAGCATGGCGTTCGTCTCTTCTTTTCTGACTTCGCGACATGATTTTTGTACATATGATTTTTCTGGTTAATAGAATACAGTTAAAAGTATCAATAAATCAATTCTGAACTTAGACTTAAGAAATTCTTGTTTTCTTCATAAGAGATCCCTTGGATATATATTAGTCAGGGCTCTTAGAGAAACAGAATCCATAAGATGTATGCATATTATTTATATGTATATTTAATTTATATTGTATATAGCATTATTATATATATTTATTATAACACCCAAAAAAGATGTCCTTTTCATTAGAGGGGACTGGAATGCAAAAGTCAAGAAGTCAAGAAAGAGCTGGAGTAACAGGCAGATTTGGCCTTGGAGTACGGAATGGAGCAGGGCGAAGGCTAATAGAGTTCTGCCAAGAGAACCCACTCGTCATAGCAAACACCCTCTTCCAACAATGCAAGAGAAGACTCTATACATGGACATCACCAGATGGTCAATACTGAAATCAGATTGATTATATTCTTTGCAGCCAGAGATGGAGAAGCTCTATACAGTCAGCAAAACCAAGACCGGGAGCTGACTGTGGCTCAGATCATGAACTCCTTATTGCCAAATTCAGACTTAAATGGAAGAGAGTAGGGATAACCACTAGACCATTCAGGTATGACCTAAATCAAATCCCTTATGAATATACAGTGGAAGTGAGAAATAGATTTAAGGGACTAGATCTGATAGAGAGCCTGATGAACTATGGATGGAGGTTTGTGACATTGTACAGTAGACAGGGATCAAGACCATCCCCATGGAGAAGAAATGCAAAAAGGCAAAATGGCTGTCTGAGGAGGTCTTACAAATAGCTGTGAAAAGAAGAGAAGCAAAAAAAAAAAAAGGAGAAAAGGAAAGATATTCCCATTTGAATGCAGAGTTCCAAAGAATAGCCAGGAGAGATAAGAAAGCCTTCCTCAGTGATAAGTGCAAAGAAATAGAGGAAAACAACAGAATGGGAAAGACTAGAGATCTCTTCAAGAACATTAGAGATACCAAGGGAATATTTCATGCAAAAGTGGGCTCAATAAAGGACAGAAATGGTAAGGACCTAACTGAAGCAGAAGATATTAAGAAGAGGTGGCAACAACACACAGAAGAACTGTGCAAAAAAAGATCTTCATGACCCAGATAACCACAATGGTGAGATCACTCACCTAGAGTCAGACATCCTGGAATGTGAAGTCAAGTGGGCCTTAGAAAGCATCACTACGAACAAAACTAGTGGATGTGATGAAATTCCAGTTGAGCTATTTCAAATCCTGAAAGATGATGCTGTGAAAGTGCTGCACTCAATATGCCAACAAATTTGGAAAACTCAGCAGTGGCCACAGGACTGGAAAAGGTCCGTTTTCTTTCCAATCCCTAAGAAAAGCAATCCCAAAGAATGCTCAAACTACCACACAATTGCACTCATCTCACAAGCTAGTAAAGTAATGCTCAAAATTCTCCAAGCCAGGCTTCAGTAATACGTGAACAGAGAACTTCCAGATGTTCAAGCATGTTTTCGAAAAGGCAGAGGAACCAGAGAACGAACTGCCATCATCCGCTGGATTATCGAAAAAGCAAGGGAGTTCCAGAAAAAACATCTATTTCTGCTTTATTGACTACGCCAAAGACTTCGACTGTGTGGGTCACAACAATCTGTGGAAAATTCTGAAAGAGATGGGAATACCAGACCACCTGACCTGCCTCTTGAGAAACCTGTATGCAGGTCAGGAAGCAACAGTCAGAACTGGACATGGATCAACAGACTGGTTCCAAATAGGAAAAGGAGTACATCAAGGCTGTATATTGTCACCTGCTTATTTAACTTCTATGCAGAGTACATCATGAGAAACACTGGGCTGGAAGAAGCACAAGCTGGAATCAAGATTGCCAGGAGAAATATCAATAACCTCAGATATGCAGATGACACCACCCTTATGGCGGAAAGTGAAGAGGAACTTAAAAGCCTCTTGACGAAAGTGAAAGAGGAGAGTGAAAAAGTTGGCTTAAAGCTCAGCATTCAGAAAACTAAGATCATGGCATCTGGTCCCATCACTTCATGGCAGATAGATGGGGAGACAGT